AGTTGTTCGGGGCAGTCGTTCGTGATGCTCAAACGCAACTGGGGCGAGTTTGGTTGGCCTTCTTGTTGGATCTGGATCTGTTTTGAGCAGAGTTTTGCACTCCATCTATGATGTTGCCCGGCGAATTCATGAAGTTCGCCGGCATCCGAACTTCGCATGAAGGCTGAAGACGGATGTGAACAAGTGCGGATACCGGAGGACTCGGTGTGCGTGAACAGGATGTGAAGAACTACCGTCGATTTCATCTAGTTCGCCCGTCTCCAGATTTCACACAAGCCTGAGCGGGATGTGAAGAAGTGTGGATGCCGGTGAACTTGTCGTATGTTCGTGCAGTTCATTGTCATGTTCGTGCGCTGTTGGTACGAGTTCGGTGTGCCTTCTTGTTGGGTCAGGGCGTGTGAACTGCAGAGTCCAGCAGTCAACAAACCGTCTCACTCTCTTTATCATCGCAGTTCGTTATCAGCCTGCGCCGATTGCTGGCAAATTCGTTTAGTTCGCCGGTATTCGAACTTCATACAGATGGCTTTTTTCTATGTTGATTTGGGTGCCGATACCGTTGATCATGGTTGATGTGCTTTGGTGGTGCATCACATGTAGGTCTGCGGAAACCGGAGCTCTGTACTGGGGTGGGTGATTTATGTCTTCCATGTGTTGGGTTGTTTTGGTCTCTTGGACCGATGCAGACACAATGTCGACGTCAAGGGGCGAGGAGCAGCCGACCGGTACCTCGGGGAGGGAATCACGGACCTCCAAATCGTGGTCCTATCATGTGCATACCAAATAGTTCGTCGATTGGTGCTGCGGGGATGAGTCCCAGCCCACCAAACCTCCGTGTTGTCCTATTATATTCCTCGAAGACAAAAAAGGCGTAGAGTTCTTGGGGCGGTGGCCGGATGGCACCCTGCTAAAAAAGAGAACACGCAACATTACAAGTTGCACACTGTTTACAGTTCGAAGGGTGACGTTGTTGCGAATTCCAAAGGGGCGGTTTTCTCTTTCGACTTGTTCCAGGGGTTTCATGCAGGGGCTGTGAAAACCCCTTTCTACCAAGATCTTGCAGTAGGAGGTGTTGTTTCGGCACCAAGTTTTTTGACTTGGTGGAGCAGAGGAACATCGACCTGGAGGAACCCTGCCACGCTCAAGGCGACCAAGAGTTGCCGCAGCCTCTTCAGATGTGCACCGGCTTCGAATCCAGCGGTGCTCCCACGGAAGGGGGAGATTTGGGTTCCGGTCCTTCCCAACTCCACCGGAGCAAGGCCCGTGATCGCTTCGACGACAGCGACGACGAAGAACAGGAGCAAACGCGGCCTTCGCCGCTTAGGCGGGAAGACCGGTCTGTCCTGAGTATTCCTGGGGTGGAAGGACACACCCCGGTTCACGACCTCCCGTCGACGTTAGCCGGGGGGGATGAGGAGGGTGTACAGAAGCCAGGAAGGTCTGGAAGGGGAGGTCCTTAGGAAGAGGGTCCGGGTTTGGCAAAGAAACATAAGGCAAGGACCCCCTAGACGACGGGGGGGGAAAGGAAGGGAGTTCAGGGGCAGGAAGGCATATCGGGTCGGAAACGCCCGACGTTGGTGCAGAAAACAGCCTCAGCCAGGTGCTCTTGAGGCGAAGGGTCCCATCGACATCGACGCCACGTACTTCCTCGAATGGAAAGACGGCGTGCGGACCTTAGCGGGAGTTCTTCATTAGCCCGTCGCGGGTCGTCGAGATCGGTGAGTGGGAAGCGTCGTACAACCAACAGTCGCTGGATCCCTTGCACACACAACTCATCATTGACGCGATGAGGATGGCCTTCTCGCAAGCCGAGAAGACGTACGAGTTGCCTACCCTTAAGCTGGCGCCACTCGGGCTGGAGAAACCGAAGTCGGGCGTATGGGCGGATTGTCTGAAGCCAGAGGACTGGAAGGATCGCAGACCAATACTATTATTACGTTGTTTCCGGCCAGCACAATGCGGCTGCAGCCAAGGCGCTGCTTGGTACCGACGTCGCATTAAGGTACAACTTCGAGAGGTGACCTGCACGTATGGTTTACTTCTCGGACGAGGAGTTCAAAGGGTATTTTCTGGTCAGCTCGGAGGACAACAAGAAGGACTTGAAGGCGCCTCCTAGACAGCTGAAACTATCAATGAAGGACATTCGGTGGCAGTGGAAGGATAAGGGTTTCCCAAAGGCTGTTATGGGGAACCCGAGCGGAAAACAAGCTCAGGTGCAGAAATGGCGTGAGTTATGTGCGCAGGCGCTTCACAAGACGCCTTACAACCACTTGTGGATTCTCGCTGTTGAGAAGGGTGAGGACAATATTAAGAAGCAAAACGTTGCCCTTCGCTCTTATTTTCCGCAGGTGATGGCTGGAAAAAGTGCGTGGGAACTGGGTATGGAATTCTTCGAGAAATGGGAGACGTGGAGACTTCTGGCACCCGAGGGGGCGAAGTGGATCACAAAGAAAAGGAAAGTGAAGGACGTCAGGCCCGGCGTTAGCCACATCGAAAACGAGAAGTTGGGGCGAAAGGAGGTCGTCTACAACGTCCCCGTCGAGGCGCCCCAAAAGAAAGGAAAGAGGAGAAAGAGCCTGGCGATTGGTCTGTCCAAGTCACCGAGCCGGATCCGCACTGCTGGAAGAGCATGGAAGCCCTTACCGACAATGAGAAATGCCGGTTGCTCAAGAAGGTCCTCAACTGCGAGGTTGTGTGGGTGCAGACAGACTCCGCTTCATTGGCGAAGCAAAGGAAGCTGGGAGTGCAGGAAGCTGTGCACCTGCTGAAGTGCGACCGCATTTTGGTGCGATTGTGGAACTACTACCAGTTTATGGACGAGAACCGGGCGGATACGGACTGGACACGTGCGTATCCCTTCCTGAAGAAGCGGGAGGCGATTTTGGTGGAGTTCGAGAAGCAGGGAATGGATGCCGCGTTGTGGGACGGGAGCAGGAAGCTCGTCGGTGACGCCTCACTATTCAAGGATTGCCCGCCGTACATGGGGTGTGAGGACGACAAAACGATTAAGGCGATGGAAAAACTCGCCCTCAACAAGAAGTTGTCCGCCGACTGGAAGAACAAGGTCCTCTCCGTGTTGATCGGCAGTAAGGCGAAGAGTATGGAGGTCGCGCTTGCAGAAGGCGTGGTGCACGTTCTGTGGAAAGACTCGGGGGACGTGACATCCATCGCCCCGTTCGGCATTGACCTTCTGGAGGCGCAGATGAGGGTCACGGAGTTGGAGAAAGCGGTTGGGACCACCAAATGCCACACGTGCGTTCTCGATCTGTGCGAGCCGGTGGACTTCAAACATTGGACGCCGAAAGCTTTTGAGAGTTTGAATTCCCTACTAGAGCAATTGTTTCCGTCACACTGGACGGTCGTCGCTTTCGTCCCTCGGCAGTGGGACTACTCCTTCATGACCAGCCTGCGCCATCTGCCCGTTGTGAAGGCAATGGCAGGGACGCAGCAGAAGAAAAGTTTTCCAGTGGGGAAAAACTTTGTACTCGGCTGACGACCGCATGTACATTCTCTTCAAAGGTGACGATTTGCGGGAGAATACTTGTGTCGTCTACGATGCTAGGTTGTCGGCAGATGACGCTACAGCTGTCGGGATACATCAGAAAGTGACCCCGACAGACATATCGGAGACTCCCTTCGACCCTTGCAAGTGGCCGTCGACCATGCCTGGAGTTGACAGGAAGGTCTACAAGGACGTGGAGCGGAACCCCACACAATTGACCCATCTGCTGGAATTTGTGTGCAAGAAGGGGGAGGGCGTCATGTTCCTTGGCAAGCCGCACGCGCGAGTCGTGTGGGAGGTTTTGAAGCGCGGCCGACACGTGGTCGCGCTGGAAGGGAATTCTGAGTTGTTGCAATACCCGTTGGAGTTCCTCAAAAGGGAGGTCAACTCTGGAGGCAACCGTTGCGAGTTCGTTTCAAGGAGTGAAAAACCAACACTCGTTCGGAAACCGTCTACGAACATGTGGTTCAAGTTGAGCGAGCGGAAGAGGAACAGGATCTACGAGTTCCTCTTTTTGGAAACACGGCCCAGGAGGGACAATGACGTTGAGTACATGCGTCGTAAGGAACACATGTTAGCATTGCTGGACAACTACCACGATGCTTCACGCAAGAATGTAAAGAACTTCCTCGACCGGCTGGAGTGTTTGTACTTCGTGGAGTCCGAGCTGGTGCTGAAGCTCGAGAGTTATGGTGCCTTGATCTCCACTGACAACGAGGCGGAGACAGGTGTTGTTTTCGACACCACTACGCCGGAGGAGGACAACGACAGCGAGGACATCGACATCGATTACCATCCTGCTCTGGTGTTTCATGCCCCAGGCACCTTGTCGGCCACTCCCTCACCAAGCCAGGCCACCCAGGCGTCGCCTGTGCTCACGTTCACCCCGGGTAAGACCCCGAGTAAGCTGGCGGCGAGACTGACGCCTCAGCCTGCCGCCCCGCCTCCATTGCGTCCCGGGAGTTTGGTTCCGCTGCATCATCCTTCTCGCAAGGATGATACCGTTCACTTCGAAGGGCTCGACCGCACTCGATCGAGCGAGGCGGACTGGGGCCATGACATGATTTGGCACCTGGGAACTATCCAGCCGGCAATCCAGAAGGGCGAGTGGATCATGGCCCTCATCAACAACCAAGGGTTGTGGGAGCCATACCCGAGTCTGTCCAAGGCTGAGTACCTGAAACTCGCGAGGATTTCGGTGGTCGACAGAGTGAGGTCTGCAAATCCCAACCTTCAACCCGCCGACCCGACCATCGATTCCATTGTTGAACTTTTGTTTCAAGAACTTCAGGATAAGCAGTGGTTGGAACTCTCGGACGATTTCTACGACCTCGACACGAGCCCTTCGACGGGACGGGTGGACTGGAAGGTTCGCCCTGCGACCGGGCCACAGGGTAGTTCGAGGGGGGCGGGGGGCGGAGGGGGGGGAGGCGCAACTGGGGGGGGAAGCGCAGGTGGGGGGGGCATGGGGGGGTGCCGGAGGGAACGTTCAGGGGACAACAGAGGGGACCGCCGCCTTGGGTGAGGTTTCGCCTCACCAGGAGGCCACGTCAAGGAAAGGCGGTGGCGGTGATGAGGGGGAGAACATTGCAGGACAGCCGATTGCCAGGTCCGGTAAGGGACCTGTGTCAAAGTCCGTCGGAATCCGGACTACATTGACTGAGGCACCGGGTGTAAGTGGAGAACCCGCTGACCACGATGAGCCGAAGTCCGCCCGGATCCGGACTTCTTCAGAAAGGGCTCCAAAGGCAAGGATTATCGTGCCGACGGGAGGGGCTACGCACATTGGGGCAGAAGAGCGGGCCGCGGGATTCGACATGGTTTTGAGAGAATTTCGTGAATGGCATTGTAGGGACGGAGGGGAAGAAGGGGAAGAAGGGGAAGAAGGGGAAGAAGGGGAGGAAGGAGAGAAAGGGGGAGAAACGGAGTTAGTTCTATTGAGTGAAGGAGAAGAGGGTGAAAAGGGGATATCATTAATTGAAGGCGACGAACGGTTGGGCAATGAGGAGGATTCCTACTGTGGGGAGTCGTCTGACTCGTTCGGGCAACCTTTACACGGGCCATCCGGGGCCTGATGTCGACTACGATGGGATGACAATGGAGATGGAGACGCAGGTGGTCAGTGACCTGTCAGCAGACCCTGAAGATTATGAGGTTCAACCGTGTACGGCTGCAGTCGATCTCCAACACCGCTGCGATGAGGTTTCCGCTGCTGTGAGCCCAGCTCAACGAAGTCAACAATTGAGCGTTGTTGAAGTTATCGATGGGATACTCGGCGACAAGCAGGTAACTGGGCAACGGTCTTCAGCGCCTGTCCTGGACGACCGCCACAACGTCACACCTTCCGTACCCTCTGCCACCATTTTCTCACCACCCGCCTCTCCGATACTGACAGCCACCTTAGCCAGCAGTCGGGAGGGCGATCTCGGGGGCCGACAACATGTCACGTCCCCGAAAAGATCTAGGGTCGGCACTCAAGCTCTCGATGTGCTGGGCTTGCCCGCGCCAACGTCGTCGACGAAGGACCGAAGGGATAAAGCGGCCAGTAAGCAGTGATGAATGTCGCGTCATACGCGCTCCCTGGCTAAGAACATGGCCAACTCAAATGAATGACGGTTTTTCGCTTCACGCACAGAGTCGTGGCTTAAGTCCGCCGTGATCTGCAGTTCTTGTGTCGATGCGTGAGATGTTTAGTCTTTGTGCGCCTGCCATGGGAAGAAGTCCGTCGAAATCCGAACTTCGGGGAATGTTAGCGTTCCGCTTTTGTGGCTTGTTGTTGTTTTCCTTTGTTAAGGTCGGGGTCTCAAGCTTGATTGCGCTTGTCCTATTGTTCTCCAGTGACACACACACAGCTCCGTGCACATGGCCATGCAAATTCGGACTTCTGTAATTGGAGAGGTCCTGCGTCTTGTGGGTTATGAGGTTCTTTTACATTGTTGCTTTTGTCGGACTCGTGTTGGGTAATGTGTATTCATTTTCCGTTTAAATTTGTCTTTCTTTTGTTGTACTGTTGTAGAGGGGTAGGGTCATCTCGAGCACGGAGGTCCTCGAAATATACGGAACACATATTGCAGAAAGCCTCCGGGTTGACGATAAAACACAAGGATATGTTAAAGGCATCAGGGGTTGACGTCGAGATCGGGAAGAAAGAGCATGCAATTACCATTGAGGAGTGTCTTTCCATTCTGCCCCCAGAGAAAGGGACATATCCGCGATCTGTGAGTAGGGGTCAGGCCATGTATGAACAATACTTAGCAAAGCATCGTGCAATGAAGGACAATGCCTAGACACTCCGTTTCTCACTACCCCACGTGTCCTTTGCTCGATGTTGTGCAGTGCGGGCCACAACGCGTGGAACACGCGGGGGAAGATTCGTTGCAGCGACTGTACCTAGCAGCTTGCGGGTTTTGGACGACATTGGACGAGGCTCGGTGCCACCTCACACTGTTCTCTCTATCCTCGCCGGCGGTCAGTTGCGAATTTCGACAAAAGATCTTCTCACCCTTTTGTATGTCGACGGCAGAGTGAATGATGAGGTGGTCAATTTTACATAGCGTTGTTGGGTTCAACCGCATGTGTGATAAGTGACATTCCGTCGGGCCTTCAAGTCTTCAACTTTAATTTGTTCTTCTTCACTAAACTGCAACTTCAAGGATACGGTGGGGTAGAAAGGTGGGCTACAAATGTGGATCTGCTTCGATATCATGATATTGTATTTGTTCCTGTTCACAAATATAACGATCACTGGATCCTCCTTTCCGTCAACTTGAGGTATGATGTCCTGAAATTTTTTGATTTTTTTCCTCGTGTTATAGCTGATTCGAGTTTTTACCTTAGTGTTTTCGATTTGATTGTACAATATTTGGAATGGCAGACATTACATAGCCGGTCGTGTAGAAGTTGGAGGTCCGTAACAACAAATGTTCTGGTGGAGGGAGTTTCAAGACAAGTGGATGGAGTTAGTTGCGGGATGTTTATGTTGATGTTTGCGACATTGTTGCAACGTGGTGATCGACCACCTTTCAGGTTCTCTTGTAAAGATATTCCGGATATTAGGCGACAATTGGCATCATGTATCTTGAAACGCCGTTGTCTTTGATGAATTCGATTGATTTAGAAACTTCGGTTTGAAAATATTTCATTATTTACTGATTATATTTCGTTAAACCTGACATTATTCAACTAGCGCTTTCACAACGACATTGCTTTCTTTTATCGTTGCGAGTTTGAGTTGTCTTTGGAATGCTCACTGTCAGTCTCGCGTCACGTGTTCACTTTGGAATCTGAGTCAGGTCCCACTCATCTCTCATGCTATTAAATTCGTCGCATTGCATTCCTGTTTTCAAATTGTGTCCAGGTCAACCAAAGTTATACATAGAATTGACCTCGAATAATATTGGCGTGTGTTGTGCAACATGCCAAATTGGTGTGTGAGCGTGAGGTTCATTATGTGAAAAGTCAAAGACCAATGACATCACGTCTATTGTGTGCGCATAGAATCACAAATTTGTGACCGCCTGAATTACATGTAACCGGCAACTTTGCGTTCGTGCGTAAGCCTTTTGTTAATGGTTAATTAAAGTGTGGATTTGATCACATAATAAGCAACATTTGAAGTTCTTCTGTAATATGACAGTTGTTGCCACAGAAAAACAACTTGTATGTCAAAATTAACCGCTTGTACTTCGACTGCTACTGTGAATTTTACATTATTTGAAGTTTCCAATGACACATTGCTCAAAGCAAACATGTCAAATAAGGATACAATCATGACACCTTGCTCATCACATTTATGAACTTGAAGTTTAACAAGTAAGGATCCCAACACACTTCCGCACAGGGTTCCCGAATGGGCGAGCGTGCCTATCGTTATTTGTGTAAGAACTTCAACAAGTATGGATCTCAGCACGCTTCACCATTTGGGATTTTATTTATACAGTTTAACAAGTATGGATCTCAGCATACTTCCGCGTGTGGTCAAGCCCTAGATGGGCGTGCCTATGTTGCTTAGGCTGCGGCCAAAAATGAATCCGTTAGAAATACGACACAATATAATGTCTTATTTTCACGAATAACATGTTCGGAGCCACTGGAAAGAAGAGCAGGAAAGGAAAGGGGAATCCAGTGGAACGCGGAAGACAGAAGCCAGGATGGAGAGGATAGTGAACGAGTGGGTAGCCAACTTGGCCCTGGGGAGAAGGAAAAAGCATTGTTGTTTGTCCCTCAAGCAAAAATGGAACAGTTTGCAAGGGCGTTGGAGGGTGAAGAAAATTTCATGAAGCGGCAGGCGATGGAGGAGGAGAAAAAGTTAGAATGGAAATTACGCCTTACCCACGAGAGGAGAAAATGATTGGAGGCGGTCGAGAAAATGGAAGAGGATTTGAGGGCCGCCGAAGAAAACCGTGGGATGTTGGCATTGCACATAGATCTCCAGCGGAAGGTGGAGATCTTATCACAGAATGTAAAAGTGATGTTGAGGGCGCATCAAGAACAGTTGTGCTGTCTAAAGGGCCACGATATTACGCTGCAATCTATGCGCATCGGTTATAAAGATTTTGCGATGGATATGATGATGCATGTAAGTACCGAATTGTGCACATTCATGATGGGCACACAAAAGTTTTGCGTGGGCGCCATCGAAGACGCCAAGATACCGGTTCCCAAAGGACAAGAACCCCAGCCACGTAGGGAGCGTGTTAAGGTCAAGTTCCCTGATCATTATAGCGGGAAAACTAGAGAGGATTTCGATAATTGGGAGACAAATGTTAACTCTTATTTGCATCTTCAGAATATTACGTTCGAGGACTAGGTCCTTGTGGCCTTTCATGCCCTTAAAGATGAAGCAACCAGTTTTGTTATCATTGCCAGGTCGTTAGCCTGCGCTGCCAAATGCGAGAACAATATGGTGGCATACTTCATCCCTTCCCCCCTCAGCGAATTTTTCAACGCCCTGCGACAGCGTTTTGCAAATATTACCAAAAGCCTTAGGGCTTCCGATAAACTTCAAACTGTTCATACAAGACAGTGAAAAAGTGCAAGGGCACTAAAAGCCGCTATGGATGAGCTCGTCGCCATCCCTGGTCACGGGGTCACTGAGCCGGAATTGGTCCAATTATTCTACCGCGCTATGCCCGAGAAGCTGAATGGGCATTTCTTTGATAAAAAGCAACAGCCTAACATGACGTATGATGCGCTTAGTAGGAAGGTTGTTGCCTTTGAGGCTCAGTCCATGCCAATTACCACTTTTTGGCATAAGGATCTTGCAAAAGGAAAAAAGTGGAAAGGTCACACCATCACCAGTCAGGTCAAGGCTAAAGATAGCCTTATTCTTACATTAGATGAGGATGGTCTAGAAGTGGTCCCGTATAGTGAGATTGAGGGGGGCCTTGAGGAGGAGACAATGGCACTGGCCAGGGGAGGACCTATGCCACTGTCGTGGTCGGAGAAAGGCTGCAAGGGAAAGGAAGGGGCCTGGGCCATAGGGGCCAAGCCTCTAGTGGTCAAGGGCAAGGCGGCCAGGGGGTTGGCGCCAGGGAAAACCGCCAAGTGGGAGAAAGGGGTCAAGGTTCCCCATCAAGCTGTCGTCGCTCTAGTCGGTCACCTCCCAAGACGGGTGGATGGCACCCTGGTCGGCCAGAGGGACGGTGTCAAGACTGGTGAGTCCCGAATAACTTCCAATCTGGAGTGAGGAGATAGGAGAGAGAAAAGACAAAGGATTAGGCCACAGGAGGGAGTGATGCCCTGGGGTGACGACCACAGGAGGAGAAAACTAGCGACGGCAAGAGAATAAGTGCAAGAACAGGGGCACATAGAACACAGCATGAGGCCGGGAGGGCCGTTGGAACTCAACAAGACTAAGGCCAAAGGACCCTTGAACCAGCAAACGCGGCACGACAACAACAAGAAAATGAGGAAGTTGAGAGACGAACGGCTCCGGAGACCGTAGGGAGCTAGAGAATAAGGGTCCTACATGGGGGCCACCTACGAAAGCCTCGAGTTGGAGGCCCCGCGACCAGAAGAACAGGCGCGTGCAAGGCGCAAGAAAGACAAGAGAAAGGGGTCACCGTGGGGCGGCTAAGCGCCCAAGGGACGCGGACACCTCAGGGAAAGGCACCCGGGGCCACTTGGGACTAAGTAAAAATAATGGTATCCGAGGCAAATTGTGTCGGGGACCACCGGTGGGACTAAGTGCCAGGGACCGCCGGTGGGACTAAGTGCTGGGGACCGCCGGTGGGACTAAGTATCGGGGACCGCCGAGGGGACGGATGGCGGGGACATGTGAAAGTTCCAAGAAGAAACGGCGGCGCCGCATGAGGGAAAATAATAAAGGCAAGGTGCACCGTCAAGATCGATATTTTGACGGCCAAGAATATTAGCACCACTAGCGCAAGCACTAGCGGTAGCAAATGGGAAGGCCAAAAGGAAAAGAAAAAGTAAAGAAACTTGAAGTAAGAGGCACGGGAGCAATCCGAAAAATATCGGATCAACCTCCCTTAAGAAAATGGAGTCAAAAGAGACCCCATGTGAAAAATAGGCCTCCGGGAGAAAATCG